GGGGTGGGGGGGGGGGGGGGGGGGCGACCTACCAGAGCTCTCGGGTCACCGAGAAATGCCGCGGAGGGGTGTGCTGCTTTCGCCCTGCATTGACCTCACCTGGAGACAGGTATTTCCGAGATCGCGGTTTTTAGCTGAGCGCTGTTTTTTCAGTGTCAAGTGCTGCGCTGCAGATTGTGATGCGTGAATTTACTCAGGTAACGAGAGAGCGTCTTTCTTGGTACGACATTCACCGTGTTTTGTACAAGGTGGAGTTTGTTCACGATGTTGGTCTTGGTTCAGTAATGTGCAATGGCACCACCGATTGCACCCTGGTATGGCTGGCTCTCCATCACAGCTCTCTTGCTATCATCAGTATCATGTCCTTAAAGCAGGTGAGCACAATCCGACCGACGACAAACAAATATATATATATATATATATATATCTATATATATATATATACCAGTAAAGGTGAGAATCACTATTTCATTACAAGCTGTACCCTGACGGTGATGGCGCGACATTCCGCTAACATATGTGGAAATCGGAGCCCCAAGTGTAGCGCTCGAGTGCCCTCTATGTGTCGTGGTCTGGCTTCGTTCTTGCCTCATTCTCATGGCAGTGATGTTTCGTCGTCTTAGGATAAGTCAACTACTAGTGAGAGATGGTGCTCCCTTGATATGCTGACTGCTTGGCTGATGTGTTTCCCATGTAAGGTTAGATTTAAATTTGATATTGCAGTAAACTTATGGGGTGTCTGGGATCATGTGATATTAATATTGCTTGTGTTTTAAGCTGTGGGCCATGCGTTAACCACTGCACGTCTGGGAAACCAGAGGTGCTGGGTTCGATTCCCCACAGTGCCTGCCTTCCTGCCAGGGTGAGAGGCAGCCGCCATATACCCTTAGCAGCTGAGTGTTCGTAAATACCCAATGACATACTTAGCTGTGGGCCGGCCGGGGTTTGCTGCGGCTCTCCACCACCCGCCATCACAGCTAAAGCTGTATCCTGTGTTATCGCTGGTGCTTCACTGTTGCTGCAGCTATCACCACACCGACGTGCCGTGGGGCTGCACAATCCTCTCGGCAGGAACGTCGATCTTTCCAGTGCACGGCCTCGGATAACTGAACGCCACAAATCGACTGGACGGGACGAGCGGGCGCTGCTGTGAGCCGGCCCCTGCCCTGCTCTGAGTGCGCCCGCTGTATGTGAGCTGAGTTAGCGCGGCTGGCCCGTAGGCGCCGCCGAGATCATCAAGGTGACCGAGCCCGCCGGGTGGAACAGCTGCGAAAATGTCACCATCTCGTGCACCGCCGGCCTGTGGACGCCACCGTCGGTGACCCGCGACGGCGCCAATGTGTCGCTGTCACAGCGCGTGGTGGTGGAGCGCGAGACCAAGGTGGCCTCCAGCGGCGCGCTCCGGCCGGCCCCGGCCGTAGCCAGGATCAAGAAGTATGAAGATATTAAAGGTCCATTATGATGAAGATCAGACAGGATGGGCGGCCGACGGCAGCAGACTGTGTGGGTTGGGCGGCCGACGGCAGCAGACTTTGTGGGTTGGGGCGGCCGACGGCAAGCAGACTGTGTGGGTTGGGCGGCCGACGGCAGCAGACTGTGTGGGTTGGGCGGCCGACGGCAGCAGACTGTGTGGGTTGGCGGCCGACGGCAGCAGACTGCGCGAGGTGTGGCGGGCTGATGCAGCAGGCACAGATCACATTATAGAAATAGAAGAGCATCGGGACTTCCTCTCGTGCGTTAACCAAACCCATGCTTATGTGGGGGGCACTCACCAAGAAGATGGGATTTTTTTGTGAGTGGGTAGTTTTCCGCCAGCCCCCAGCAGCACTGCAATCTATTTCAAAGCTTGAGTAACATGGTTGCTTGTATCCCCTTGACTGCTGTGGTATTAATGGTTTCAACCCTTACCCCATGTCGGTGCAATCAATGATAAGCGGGCCGCCGTGGATCAGGAATGTGATGTGTCTGCCAGAGGTTGGTAATCGGTCCCGCAGCAATATCACTAGTTTGTGCTGACACACACAAATGCAGTGTTTATTACTGGTCAGCGTGGCTTGCGAAGGAGAGCCACTCGGCACCGGTACCCGTCTGGCTGGCCGGCTCTAATCGGGCGTCCGGCCGCCGCAGGACAAGACGGGTGTCCCATCTGACCGTGGGCTGCGTCTCGCTGCCGACCAGGGCAACACATGTCACGTGTCGGGCGGAAAGCTGCGTACAGTTGCTGCTGGACGTCCGAGGTGAGTGGGCGGTGGCACTCCTCCAGCCCCGGGGCCGCGCGGGGGCTGTGTCCGGGCGCGCGCATAGCTGTGCCGCACGCCCGTGTGTGTGTGTGTGTTTGTGTGTGTGTGTTGTGTGTGGTGTGTGTGGTGTTGTGGTGTGGGTGTGGTGTGTGTGTGTGTGTGGGTTGGTGTGTGGTGTGGTGTGTGTGTGTGTGTGTGCGTGCGCGTGCGTGCGCGTGCGCGTGCGCGTGCGTGCGCGTGCGCGTGCGCGTGCGTGCTGCGCGTGCGGCGCGTGGCCGTGCGCGTGTGTGTGTGTGTGTGTGTGTGTGTGTGTGTGTGTGCGTGCGTGCGTGCGTGCGTGCGTGCGTGCGTGCGCGAGTGGGGCGTGCGGCTGCGGGTGCGGGCGTGTGGCTGCAGTGGGTGTGTATCGTCTGGCTGTCGCACGCGGTCGCCAGGCCGTGTCTGACCGGACGGCGGCGCTGGCCGGCAGCCGCGCCCGAGCTGGTGTCCAGCGGCGGCGCCACGGCCCGGGTCGGCGACCCAGTCACCGTCAGCTGCTCGTTCCGCGCCAGCCCGCCGCCCACCATCGGCTGGACGGCCGGCAAGCGGCCCATCAAGGACACCACGCCCAGGTGCGTCTGGCGGCGGGCCCTCTCCTGCTGCGGTGTGTATGGCGCCGCCGCGGTGTCTGGGTTGCGCCGCAGCCAGTGGACAGCTGCATGTTTGGCTGCGATTCGGCGTCGGGGGGCGCCAGCGAAGGAGGGCCGCTGCACCGGCCGCTGACTGGGCCGGCCCCGCGCCATGCTACCACCCGGCGGCGCGCCAGCTCACACGCGTCTGGCCGTCCTCAGGCACCAGCTCAGCGTGCGGAACGTGTCGAGCACGGAACTGGAGAGCCTGCTGACCATCACCAACAGTGTCGGCCAAGGACGGCGGCGAGCTGACGTGCGCCGCGTCCAACGACGCCGGCCGGGCCGAGCACACGCGTCCTCGTCACTGTCCAGCGTGAGTGTGGCGGTTGCGCGCCCGTCGCGCCGCACCGTGAGGTGGCGGTGTGCGGCTGGCGGCGCTGGCCCCGTTGTCGGCGTTTTGCCGTGATGTTCGAGTCGGGCTTTTGTCGGGCCTCGTGCTCTTTACCGTGCGTGGTGTTAGTGCGCCAGACAGCCCCCGGGGTTAGATCTGCTGGCATTCCCGAGCCGACGGTGCTCCTCTGCTCGGCTGACATTTCGTCTGCACGCAGCGGGGCGGGCCGTGTTGTCCAGTTGCGTTCCTTGTTGCGAGATGTTGGTGCACACGCGGGGCACCGAGAGCCATACAGGGCTGGTCCCGAGCGGTGCGCACCGGTGTTCTGACGACGTCCATCTGGACGCACAGGACGTCCGGAGGTGAAGATCATCAAGGCGGTGGCCGTGGGCAGTCGCACATCTTCATCAACTGGACGGTAACAACGGCAAACGCGCCGGATCCAGAGCTACAGACTGCGGTATATGGAGGTGCGTTGCGCGACGTCCCGCTCACGTCCGAGAATGGGCAAATAACCACACATTCTGTCCAGATATTCTCCGTCACATTCGAGTTCCTTTCATTTGGCGTATCCGCCTTTGGTTTGACGTTGAGCTGACGTCCCCTGGATGCCAGGTGGGCTGGCCGGTGGGTGTATCCATCTGGCCTATTCCCAGGTGGGCTGGCCGGTGGGTGTATCCATCTGGCCTACTCCCAGGTGGGCTGGCCGGTGGGTGTATCCATCTGGCCTACTCCCAGGTGGGCTGGCCGGTGGTGTATCCATCTGGCCTACTCCCAGGTGGGCTGGCCGGGGGTGTATCCATCTGGCCTACTCCCAGGTGGGCTGGCCAGTGGGTGTATCCATCTGGCCTACTCCCAGGTGGGCTGGCCGGTGGGTGTATCCATCTGGCCTACTCCCAGGTGGGCTGGCCGGTGGGTGTATCCATCTGGCCTACTCCCAGGTGGGCTGGCCAGTGGGTGTATCCATCTGGCCTACTCCCAGGTGGGCTGGCCGGTGGGTGTATCCATCTGGCCTACTCCCAGGTGGGCTGGCCAGTGGGTGTATCCATCTGGCCTACTCCCAGGTGGGCTGGCCAGTGGGTGTATCCATCTGCCTACTCCCAGGTGGGCTGGCCGTGGGTGTATCCATCTGGCCTACTCCCAGGTGGGCTGGCCGTGGGTGTATCCATCTGGCCTACTCCCAGGTGGGCTGGCCAGTGGGTGTATCCATCTGGCCTATCCCAGGTGGGCTGGCCAGTGGGTGTATCCATCTGGCCTACTCCCAGGTGGGCTGGCCAGTGGGTGTATCCATCTGGCCTACTCCCAGGTGGGCTGGCCAGTGGGTGTATCCATCTGGCCTACTCCCAGGTGGGCTGGCCAGTGGGTGTATCCATCTGGCCTACTCCAGGTGGGCTGGCCAGTGGGTGTATCCATCTGGCCTACTCCCAGGTGGGCTGGCCAGTGGGTGTATCCATCTGGCCTACTCCCAGGTGGGCTGGCCAGTGGGTGTATCCATCTGGCCTACTCCCAGGTGGGCTGGCCGTGGGTGTATCCATCTGGCCTACTCCCAGGTGGGCTGGCCAGTGGGTGTATCCATCTGGCCTACTCCCAGGTGGGCTGGCCGGTGGGTGTATCCATCTGGCCTACTCCCAGGTGGGCTGGCCGTGGGTTATCCATCTGGCCTACTCCCAGGTGGGCTGGCCAGTGGGTGTATCCATCTGGCCTACTCCCAGGTGGGCTGGCCAGTGGGTGTCTCCATTGACCTATTCCAGGTGGGCTGGCCGTGGGTGGTATCCATCTGGCCTACTCCCAGGTGGGCTGGCCGGGGGTGTATCCATCTGGCCTATTCCCAGGTGGGCTGGCCAGTGGGTGTATCCATCTGGCCTACTCCCAGGTGGGCTGGCCAGTGGGTGTATCCATCTGGCCTACTCCCAGGTGGGCTGGCCAGTGGGTGTATCCATCTGGCCTATTCCCAGGTGGGCTGGCCATGGGTGTATCCATCTGGCCTACTCCCAGGGGCTGGCCAGTGGGTGTATCCATCTGGCCTATTCCCAGGTGGGCTGGCCGGTGGGTGTATCCATCTGGCCTACTCCCAGGTGGGCTGGCCGTGGGTGTATCCATCTGGCCTACTCCCAGGTGGGCTGGCCGGTGGGTGTATCCATCTGGCCTACTCCCAGGTGGGCTGGCCGTGGGTGTATCCATCTGCCTACTCCCAGGTGGGCTGGCCAGTGGGTGTATCCATCTGGCCTACTCCCAGGTGGGCTGGCCGTGGGTGTATCCATCTGGCCTATTCCCAGGTGGGCTGGCCAGTGGGTGTATCCATCTGGCCTACTCCCAGGTGGGCTGGCCAGTGGGTGTATCCATCTGGCCTACTCCCAGGTGGGCTGGCCGTGGGTGTATCCATCTGGCCTATCCCAGGTGGGCTGGCCAGTGGGTGTATCCATCTGGCCTATTCCCAGGTGGGCTGGCCAGTGGGTGTCTCCATTGACCTATTCCCAGGTGGGCTGGCCAGTGGGTGTCTCCATTTGACCTATTCCCAGGTGGGCTGGCCAGTGGGTGTATCCATCTGGCCTACTCCCAGGTGGGCTGGCCAGTGGGTGTATCCATCTGGCCTACTCCCAGGTGGGCTGGCCAGTGGGTGTATCCATCTGACCTATCCCAGGTGGGCTGGCCAGTGGGTGTATCCATCTGGCCTACTCCCAGGTGGGCTGGCCAGTGGGTGTCTCCATCTGGCCTATCCCAGGTGGGCTGGCCAGTGGGTGTATCCATCTGGCCTACTCCCAGGTGGGCTGGCCAGTGGGTGTATCCATCTGGCCTATTCCCAGGGGCTGGCCAGTGGGTGTCTCCATCTGGCCTATTCCCAGGTGGGCTGGCCTGGGTGTCTCCATCTGACCTATTCCCCGTGGGCTGGTCAGTGGTGTATCCATCTGCCCCATTCCCAGGTGGACCGAGTCCAGCGGGCCCCGGGCCCCGCTCGCCTGTTGTTATCATCACCAGGTGGGCCTCCACTGTTGTGCTCGACCCTGTGACCTGACGCCGACCTCTCGCCAGGTGGGCACTGACCAGTGGGTGTACCACTCGGTACCGGTGCCGGCCAACGCCACGTCGTTCGTGGTAGACAGCCTGAAGCCGAACCGGGGGCTACAGGGTTCAGCTGACTGCCGTCAACGCTGTGGGCTCTAGTGAGGCAGCCGAGCGAGGCCAGGACGGCCGCCTCATCACGCAGGAGCGCGGTGAGTGGGCGCCCGGCCCGGCCCGGCCCGGCGACCGGCGGAGTCGGTGCTCTGGTGAACGTGTCTGGCCGTGTGGGGAGGCGCGTGGCTGAGTGGCTCCTCCTCTGCCGGCAGATCCCACGTACAAGCCGGTGCTGTCGGTGAAGGCGGCCACCACCGAGTCGCTGACGCTCAGCTGGTCCCAGCCGTCGCCCGATGTGGCGCCGTTCATCCAGTCTTACCGGCTGATGCGCACCGACGGCGAGGACCGCAGCAACGTGGAGGAGGTGAGCGGTGCGCAGCGACGGCACCAGCTGCACAGGCTGTGCGGCTGCCAGCCGTCACTGCCATGGACGATGAAACATGTGGGGATGCGTTGTGGCTGTGGAACCGAAGTCGCTCTGTAGTATCATACACCTCCCACAATCCACCAGCCGGGCTCGTGTGGGGAGGGACGATAATGCACAGAAATTAGCGTCACCATGGTCTGGCAGTGACAGGGCAGTGATTTGGCAAGCCATGCAACCTTCCACCACGCTATCACACTCGAATAGATCGATTGCTTTCCACAGCGATACAGTGTGCTTTAAACTCACTGAAAACCAGTCCTTGTGTTCTCTTATTTATAAAACATTCTGGAATCCACTTGTCAGATAAAGCCCCAGCAGTGTTCCAAGATCCATTTTTGGTAGGGTGCGCAGATGTAGAAAAGCTTCAAAGGATGTCAGTATCTGATGTCAAAACGAGCCTTTAAAGACTGCAAATTCACTTTTGAAATGACAACATGTTAGTGGAACACATGGGGACGTCCGTATTTTTGTTGAAATTGTAAAGATAAACATATAATATTACCATCCATCCAGGTATATATATATATATATATATATATATATATATATATATATATATATATATATATATATATAGTATTCAATATGCGCCGAATGTGTCTTTCCAGACAGACAAGCATTTGTTGCCAATTCTAGATCCTTTTCCTTTCCAGACAGCCACCACAACATGGTGGCATCAGATTCTTCCTCTGAAAGAGAGTGGTGAAATCCTGATCCTCAATCCTAATCATCTTTGAAGAAGTGTGTATGATGCGCCATTCACATAAATGATATCCTGAAACTGTTACTCTGTATTTCTGTTAAATGATAAAGCCTCTTTCTATTTGCTGATGACCTTTATAACTTGGGTTCAGGTGAAAAAGGGGCAAGTAATCGATAAATGTTACAGCCCATTTATCAGGCACCAAATACCCGACGAAACACACGTTTCATTGCTCAACTTAAATGGGTGACCACTGAATCACCGGCATGTGGCCTTCATGGCGTCCTTTGAAAAGTACGAGCCTGGGATGGGTGACGGCTGTTTGTTTTGAGTGTGAAGCGTGAGATCTGCCACGCTGAGATTAGTGTACACTTGTGTTGCGGTGATTGTTTGGCGGCTGTGGTGATGATTGCGGTTTGGCGGCTGTGCTGTGGCGCACACGTTCAGCGCGGGCCGTGTCGACGGTGGCGGCGGGTACGTGTGCCCGCATGTGCCCTCTGGTCTCGTGCCGCGCCAGACCGTGCGCTCGGCCGGTTTGTGCACCGCCTGCCAGCCGCTGGGCGGCGGTGTGACGCCGCCGCCGTGCCCGCCAGCTGGTGGTGTTCCACCCGACGACGCTGTTCCTGTGGCCAGATCTCAGGGCCGGCCGTACCTACAACATCTCCGTGCGCGCCTGTAACGACTTGGTGCCGCTATGCGGTCCCCTGGTCCGACGACGTCAGCGGCGTCACCATGGTGGACAGTGAGTACCGACGGCGTCACCGTCGGCGCGGCCCGTGCCGGCAGGCGGGCCGGCTGGGCTGGCCGCCGTCGGCTTCGGACGCGGCGGCGGCACGGCGCGGCCAGGAGGGGACAACCAGTACACACACGGCTCCGTCGTGTTTGCGCTTTAAATAGGAACATGCTCTTGCTTGGAAAATGCAATCGAACGGTTTGTCACTCCCCGTTTGATTTTGTTGATAAAACCTTGTTGATGTCTGGGCACTGAGCTGAACTCAAGCAAGGATAACAGGGATAGTCTTCGACGGTCACGCCGGTCCGTTTGAACGCTGGCGGTGGAGAGCTGATTTGAGCTGAGCTGTGCTGTGCTGTGCGGTTGTGCTGTGCTGTGTTGTGCTGTGCTGTGTTGTGCTGTGCTGTGTTGCTGTGCTGTGCTGTGCTGTGACCTGACCTGACCTGACCTGACCTGAGATGAGCCTGACCCGAGATGAGCTGTGCTGTAGCTGAGCTGAGCTGAGCTGAGCTGAGCTGACCTGGGCTAAGCTGAGCTGACCCGAGCTGACCTGAGCCGAGCTATGCTGAACAGAGCTGTGGCTGTGCTGTGCTGAGCCGAGCTGAGCCGAGCTGTGTTGTGCCGCGCTCTGCTGAGCTGAGCTGAGCTGACCTGAGCCTAGCTGGGCTGAGCTGAGCTGACTCCGAGATGACTAGATAGTGCTAGAGCTAGCTGAGCTGTGCTGACGTGAGCTGTGCTGAGCTGAACTGAGCTGTGCTGTGCCGTGCTGTGCCGAGCTGAGCTGAGCTGAGCTGAGCTGAACTGGACTGGACTGAACTGAAGCTGAGCTGAGCTGAGCTGATGCTGAGGCTGAGCTGTAGCTGAGCCTTGAGCTGAGCTGAGCCTGACTGAGCTGAGCTGAGCTGAGCTCGAAGCTGAGCTGAGGTGAGCTGAGCTGAGCTGAGCTGAGCTGAGCTGAGCTGAGGCTGAGCCGAACTGAGCTGAACTGAGCTGAGGGTGAGCTGTGCTGTGCTGAGCTGAGCCGCCGGCGTGTCGTCTACAGCCCAGGTGAAGCCCCGTGACGTTCTGCTCAAGTGCTCGCTAGACCAGGCCGGCACGCGGGCCTCCATCGTCGTCGCGTGGCAGCCGCCCGTCAACGCGGCCGGCGTCCGCCAGTACACGGTACGTCCGTGAGAACACGGCACGCCCAGTGTGTACGCGACACACGGCACGCCTGCGCAGGGCGTGGCGCGACCATGCTGGGGTGGGGCGCATGCAATATGGCTAGCGGCGACATCCAGCCGCGTCTTCCTCCCGATGAGGCAGCACGGGGCGAAGGGGAGGGGCCCTAGCAGCGGTCGGCCGAGCTTGTGTTCGGACCGTCGTCCTGACGGGCACACGCGTTTGGCTCCACTTGGCCTGATCCCGGGCCTCGCCCTCCGGCCTGACCCCGTCTGACCGGGCCCCGTCCCGAACCGCACTCCGTCTGACCTGGCCACAGGTCACGGTGACAGGCAAGTCCGAGTACTTCGACAACGGACGGCTCGCGAGTCCAGATGTTGTCCGACCCGGACATGCGGTCGGTGCCGGCGCTGGAGCAGACTGTCCACGTTTAAGGGGTGCGGTGCCCAACACCAACTACACTGTCCACGTGAGTGGCGGGGCCTCCGGTGTCCGGTGCGCGCCGGGCAGTGTCACCCCCGCGGCCTCGGGACCGTGATTGTCGCGGACGCGGCGCACTCAGTCTGGGCTTGTCTGGATGTAGCGGGCCCTGATGACGCAAGATCATTCAAGTATTGTCACATCCACCTCCTCGGCGCCAGCGTTGTGATGAAGTATAAGAAATAGGTCAGTATTTTTCCGCATATTGTGTACAAAGGCTGCGTGGACAAGAAGCCAAGCATGCATGCCGCCGGTCCGGAGCGTGTGCGTCTGGCTGGCACCGACTCTGTCTGTCGGTGTGTGGTGTGAGTGGTGTCGCTGACGGCGCTCGTGCTGGCCACACAGGTGTGCGCCGGCGCGGCCTGACCGCTGCTCGGGCGGTGGTGGCGCCGCCTCGCGCCAGTGCGCCGTGGGCGCCGGACTGCCGGCCGCCTCCCAGCTGCAGCAGTACCGCTGGTGCGCGTGCGGCGCGACGAACGCTGGCTCATACAGCTGCAGGTGGACCGCGTGCTGGAGCGAAAGGGCCCATCTGCTGCTACAGGTGATGGCACGGCCTCACCTCGGTGGGCAGCTGTCACCGACGCCGGGCCGGGCGGCAGCCGGGGTGAACGCGGACACTGGGGCCCTGGTCTGGCAGCCACGGCCGTGCCGTCTCCGAGGCCGGCCGTGGCCGTCTCCGAGGCCGGCCGTGGCCTGCCCCGGGCCGTGGCCGTCTCCGAGGCTGGCCGTGGCCGTCTCCGAGGCCGGCCATGGCCTGCCTCGGGCCGTGGCCGTCTCCGAGACTGGCCGTGGCCGTCTCCGAGGCCGGCCGTGGCCGTCTCCGAGGCCGGCCGTGGCCTGCCCCGGACCGTGGCCGTCTCCGAGGCTGGCCGTGGCCGTCTCCGAGGCCGGCCGTGGCCGTCTCCGAGGCCGGCCGTGGCCTGCCCCGGGCCGTGGCCGTCTCCGAGGCTGGCCGTGGCCGTCCCCGAGGCCGGCCGTGGCCTGCCCCGGGCCGTGGCCGTTTCCGAGGCTGGCGTGGCCGTCTCCGAGGCCGGCTGTGGCCTGCCCCGGCCGTGGTCGTCTCCGAGGCTGGGCCGTGGCCGTCTCCGAGGCTGGCCGTGGCCCGTACCCCTAGCCCGCAGCCGTCGCGCTCCGCGCTGTAATCACAGGTGGCGCACCATGCCGTGGACACGCTTGAAGCTCAGTTGACCGTCACCGTCCCCGGAGCGGCGACTGCTTCGGGACCGCATCATATGCGGCAGATAGAAGCACGCTTTTGCTATTGTATCGCTCAATCATACGTTCTAAGCTGGACTATACGCATGTTTCATTTATGACAGCGCGTGTGAGCCCCCATACGCGTCCTGGGACCTGTCCATCATACCGCTCTAGGCGTAATCACAGAAGCGTTCCGCACATCGCATGCCACGAGCCTCATGGTAGAATCGCACGAGCCGCCCTTATCAGCGAGAAGGAAAATGGTGGCATGCGTTATGCACTTAAGTTGCGACAGTTCCCTCCCATCCGGCATATAACGCAGTTTTTTCCGGCCTGCAGTGCATTTTCGTCACGGTGCACCTCGGGCATATGCTGTAACCTTTGGGCTCCGAATACAAGCCTTGCTACGGGAAAGCGAAATTCCTATTCGAAGGTTGAAGCGGGTCGATCATCTGTCCACCGCTCCCTGGCGTTTGATCTCGCCATCAATAGATACGTCTTTGACCGAAATGAAAAAGAATGTCGTCTTGCCAGATATAATGAGGTCGAGGGCACTTGAGCGTATGGCGTTATATGACGATTGCACACTTATTACACGGACGGATCTAAAACTTCTGGCGGAGTGGGTTGTGCGTTTGTGAGCGGCAACGTCATCCGGACGTTTCCTTGCCTCCACATGCGTCGGTGTTCACATCGGAGTGGTAGCGATCACCAAGGCGTTTGTTTTCATTGAAGTCAGTGACGAACCTTCACATCTGATTTTGGCAGACTCTCTTTGCAGTGTTCTTAGTCCTTTTATCCATCATGTCCCCTTGTACAGGATATTTTAGGACGTTTGACTCAACTGGATTAGGCCCGAAAGAAAGTTATATTGTGTTGGATCCCCAGTCACATTGGAATCGCTGGCAACGAGGTGGCTGACGCGGCTGCAAGGCGAGCAGCGCTGGCTCCATGTGTACGCTCTCTCTCTATCCCTGCCGATATTTTTACCCCTGCAATAAAAACCTTTCTGCAGAACGAATGGCAGCGTTGTTGGGATTTAACAAATGAAAATAAGCTCAGAGCAATAAAACCAGCTGGGTCAGTGGTTTTCGTGTTTCCGCCAAATAAGGCAAGAAAAGGTGATACTCTGCAGACTACGTATCGGACACACGTACGCAACTCACGGTTATTTGTTGCATGGAGCCGAAAGATGTCTGTCATCGATGTGGTGCTGTTCTCACCGTTTGTCATGTGCTTACATCATGTCCGCGCCTCATTGAGAACGTCAACGATTTTTTGGTGAGCGTGACTCGCCCTTGACGCTCTGTGACATTTTAGGAGACAGCTCGCGCCTTCTTGAATCTAAACAGGTCTTTTTATTCCGTAGACATATCAACTTCGGGACTCTTTACACGGTTCACTAGTTAGGTAAAACAAAATCGTTATGGGCGCCAAATAACCGCTGTAGTCGGCGCGCCCCGAAAACACCAATCAACAACGACAAAAAGCTCCGGGACCGGGGCCGTCACGTGTGACGGGTGTACGACTGCTCCGGGACTGGGGCCGTCACGTGTGACGGGTGTACGACTGCTCCGGGACCGGGCCGTCATGTGTGACGGGTGTACGACTGCTCTGGGACCGGGGCCGTCACGTGTGACGAGTGTACGCCTGCTCCGGGACCGGGGCCGTCACGTGCGGCGGGCGTGCGACTGCTCCGGGACCGGGGCCGTCAGTGGGCGGGTGTGCGACTGCTCCGGGACCGGAGCGGTCACGTGCGGCGGCTGTACGGCCGGCCGTGCTGACCGTGCTCTGTGCGGTAGGGTGGTGATGGTTCAGCTGCGGCCAGACCAGCAGCCGGCCGTGCTGACCGTGCTCTGTGCGGTAGTGGTGTGATGGTTCAGCTGCGGCCAGACCAGCAGCTGGCGTCCCTGCCGCACCCCGCAAACTGCCCATCAAGTCTTACGAGGATGTGCAGGCCGAGGGCGCCGGCGCCTACCTGGCAGACGCCTTCGACAGTGAGTGCCTCTCTGACCGGTCCGATCTGTAGGAGCAGAGCAGCAGGCTCTGTGGGGACAGGAGCATAGCCGTCATAAACCGCATGCTGTAGCCGTCAGTGTGTCGGGTGCCGCTGGGCGGTGCTCTGTGCCAGCCTGTGGGACGCCTGGGTGTGTTGGGGCGGCGCCTGCGCCATCCTTTGGGACGCTGGGTGTGTTGGGGCGGGGCTCTCTGTCAGCCGGTGGGACGTCTGGGTGTGTTTGGGGCGGGGCTCTGTGCCAGCCTGTGGGACGTCTGGGTGTGTTGGGGCGGGCTCTCGTCCTGGGGGACGTCTGGGTGTGTTGGGGCGGGGCTCTGTGTCAGCTGGTGGGACGTCTGGGTGTGTTGGGGCGGGGCTCTGTGTCAGCTGGTGGGACGTCTGGGTGTGTTTGGGGCGGGCTCTGTGCCAGCCGGTGGAACGCCTGGGTGTGCTTGGGGCGGGGCTCTGTGCCAGCCGGTGGGACGCCTGGGTGTGTTTGGGGCGGGCTCTTTGTCAGCCTGCGGCGTGTTGGGGCGGATCGGCGCCGTGCGTGACTCGGGCCGCACGCATCAGCCGCCAGTCGCCCTCGTCTGACGGAGCCGGCCCGCCCGCCCGCAGCGACTTCGTCAAGACGAGGTACGTGACGCTGGGCGACGACCAGGTGACGGACGAGACGGCCTGCCAGCACTGCGTGCCGCCAGCCGGCCGCCACCGGCGCCGTCAGACGGCCGCGGCGCCGGGCGCCGCTCGCGCCGCGCGACGGTCCGCTCCTCGAGGCGGCCAACTATACGGCCTTCATCCAGCTTGTCGGTGCGTGTCGCTTATGGGTGG